GGCAATACCACCTCCTGCAGTGAACCCTCAGCACCTTTGTAATGAAGAGGACCTGAAATCTATCCAGGACATGTTTCCCAACATGGACAGGGAAGTAATCCACTCAGTGCTAGAAGCTCAGAGGGGGAACAAGGATGCAGCTATCAACTCCTTGCTTCAGATGGCTGAAGAATCATAGATCCCCACTTCCTGCGTTGTCCCCGTCCTTGATGCCACCTTTATTTTTACTTGCCAAGCCAGGGATTTAGCTAGAGGAAGAATTTCCTGACAGTTTTCTGTTAGCGTATCCTGTATGAAAGATTGTATCCCCTTTTCTCTGTGGACGTTTGGATCTTTTTCACTTTCTTTTTCTCTGTGTGTGTGTGTGTGTTCTACAACAGCATTGAAGCATCTTTACTCTCAGCTGTGCCCTGTGTGGCTATATTCTGACTTGGGTGGGGAGTAATGCTGCTTTTTCCTTTCTCTCCCCCTTTTCAAAACACAAGTTCTTACAAAGTAACTCTATGCAGTACAGGATATACTACTGTTTGTTAGATTGAAAAAACTCTCTGGAGTGTTTCCTTTTTAACATAACTGATTTGTTAATGTAATTTGTTTTCATCAAGCAGCCTGTTTCTGCCAGAAATTAAAAGCAAAGGCCCTTTTGCTTGTCCTGTGGTGTTTAGTTATTGCTGTGAGAGTCAGCTGTCCTTGATGAAAATTTTTAATTGAATAAGCTAAATTCTTTAGGTTGCACTGCTCATCCTTGTAATGAGCATCTTCTATTCAACCTAGTTATTGGGCACCAAAGCAATGTATTAACTGGAGTGTGTTTAGGGCTTTATCCTGTCATATAGTATTGTTATGTATCTGTAAAATCTTAACAGATAACAGTACAGTCTGTATTGCTGTAGCAGAGGACAGGACTGAGCCCTAATGTACTCCGACAGCTAATTGCACTCTTAGTACTTACTTCTGCATTCCCACAGTTATTCCAAAGGATGAACGCAGACAGAAAGATTTTATACCTTGAAAATTAATGACGTGGTAAACAGTTATTTGAGGCTGTCTTGTATTTAAAAAAGCAGAAACCTGTGATTTGTTTGTTAGACTTCTTTCTTTACACCTAAATTTCAGCCAAATTATCATTTTACATTGGTGGAAAAGTTACTATAAGAGTTTTTTTCATTTAATCTGAAATAAACATGAAAAGTAGCTTTGGGAATCTTCAAATGGTATTTAAAGTTTTCCAGTGACTTGTTGGATTAAGGTTGCTCTAATTACTTCAATATTATTTGAAGCAGGTGGGAATAAATTCTTTGTAGGAGAAGATTTAACATATCTGAGTTAGTCTGATCCTCAGAAGAGGTTGGAGGTTGCTGATATTTATTGTTAGTATCATTTTTTTCAGACATCAGATCATCTTGGAGCTGCAGAATCTTGAAGTAGGCACCTGTTAAAACTGTTGGATAAATTCTGCGATGTGTATTTTTGTAGATGGTGAAGTAATGCACTTTAAAGTAGTATGCACCAGTATATTTTATCAGTGATGTGCAATGTTGCTGTTTTGTCTTTTTAATGTTTGACTTCAAATACTTTCTACAATAGCCATAGACTTTTATATTTTCAGGAGTTAGAATGTACATTTGAAATGTAGGCTCTTGAGTGATTCACGAGAACTTTAAAGCCAGGTTTGGAATAAGGAAAATAGACCCTTATTCTCCTCTTCTCCACGCTTTGTTTCATTTCCCACACGTAAGATTTTTTTCTTATCTGCTGAAAAGCTGATTTTCCCGACTACATTCAAGAAGCCTCTAAGTAGCCTTGGTAGAGTGTGAATGTTTATTTTTTTTATGATTGAAAGTGATACTGAAACTTTTAAAATACAGTACCAAAAAATCATCCCAGTTTCTGATCTTCTAAAATAATCTTTTCATAATACGTGATTTTAAGTTTTCTTTTGAATCCCCTCCTGTCTTAAACTTCCCTTTGAAAGCGTGTCTTTATACATCTTTCTATCTGCTTTCCAATAATGACATTCAAGGCTATAGTTTCTTGTTTTATATATGGAGTCACCACACGTTTAGTTTCCAAAACAAACAAGGTGTTCATCAAGAAAGTGGTCTTGTCCCTTCCCTACAGTAGTGTTAAATTTTGTGATTGAATAGGTATAGAGGCATTTGGTCTTTATTTTCATAGCACAGTGATTTGTGGCATGTCACCCAAGAGGATAAATCTTGGTAAGGATTTAGTGCTTAGATACCACTTCCAGGAAGAGTCCCTTGCTCTAACTTTTACACAGATAGCATGAATTGCTAGGGATGGAATAATTCAGGGAAAATGTACATATATAAATTTTTATATTAAAATGTTGGGGTCCGTAATAACAGCTTTTTATAAAAGCAAGCGATCATGGTTGAACCTAACGGCTGGTAAATTGTACTGCATTCTATTACAGCTGAATTGCAAGCACAGAATAAACACCCTGTTTCAATCCTAACATTCAGAAGGGGAAGCAAGAAGGTTAGGTTAGCCAGGTTCATTCATAAACTGACTTTCAGGCCTCTGGGAGAGTTGTAGCTCCTGTTCTTAACAGTTTCTTTTGTTTGTTTTAGGCAAATGTTATGCGAAGCAGTAGTTGTATGAGTTGCAGATGGGAAATGTAGGAGCGGCATGGCCAGTAGATGGATTTCGGCATGTTACTCAAACATATTGTTCTGGGGATTTTTGTCTTGATTAATTATTATAGCTGAAACTCTTATGTCAAGATGTGCTACTTGTTAAAAAGAACAAAACACTGATCATGAGCCTACTCAACTTTTCAGCATTCGTATCCTCTCAGTCAAGCTGCTTATTGTTAGGTTTGGGTTGGAGAGACATGAAAAAAGGCAGGGAGTAGTTATTCGAGGGCCTGTAAAATGAAGGCACTGGAACGGAATGTCTTTTTCATGATTTAAAAAAAAAAAACATTGTCACTCATTACGATTGTAGCTTTTGACAAATTCTAACAGGGTGATACTCTGATACTGCTCTTCTCAACAGCTTCAAGCAGCCTGGAGCCAAAGCCAGCTGTATAAGACTGGCATCTGCTAAAAGTTAGTGCTTTAGAGTACTAGTTTGAATCCTGCAAAGAGCCTAAACTTGCTAAAGATAGGAACACTTTTTGTCTAGCTAGATCCTTGCTACTTTCTTCTCTACTGCTGTTTGCATCTGCTGATGGTACTGAATGTTTTTTTTCCTCTTACAAATGTTATTGCTTTATTTGGATGATCTGTAATACCATACAGAGGATGTTTTTTGCTGTAATAATTCTGAAGACATTGTTTCTCGCTGTATTGAGGTCCAGTGTCCAAATATGTTTCTTGCACTCTTAAATGCATTAACTTTTCATTCTAAATTAATAAATGTATAATCTAAATGAGAATGTATCATGTCTCTGTGGGAGAGGAGGATTATTTGAATCTCTGTCTATAGACTGATCTAGAATTCAACATGTATGAATAGCTATCTTTTATTCAGTCATTAGTTAACAAATTACACTTCAGTTCTTAGAAGTGCGATCTTCTAGTACAGTAAATGCTCAAAAATGTGCGTTTTTCTACCTGGTCTAGATGTTACTCTTTGAAGAATGTGTTACAGTACTGCAGGGCTGAAAGACAGAATAAGGGAACAGTGAGATTGCATTCTTCAAATGACGGCGTGTCAGGGAGCAAGGGAGGAGGGAAGAGGGGTGCAGATGTGGAGAAGATGCTCCATCGTGTGCATGGAGAGCTTTGTAGAGAAGAATGGTATATGAAGGAAGAGTGACAAAATAGCCTCTCTGTATTATGCTAGCCGTGATAAGAACTGGCTTTTTTAATCTGCTAAGTTTTAAATTATTGAAGTTTAAAGATTTGGTTTACAGGTAGCAACTCCTTTTAGTTCTGTGGTTGACTGGAAAGCTAGCCCAAGTCCTCTTTTTCATTTAAAAGCATTGCTATGCTCAGCAAGAATTCATTGTTTGTAGTTTTAATACATTACCAAGCTAACATTTGGGGTTTTAGTGTGCAGTTCATAGCATGATTTTTATTGGAAGTTAATTTTTTTAACAAATGATAGTTGAGAGAAATCTTTCACAACTCAACTTTGTTAGGTTTGTTTCTGTAATGTCCTGTTAGCACCTAACATCAAATGAAATTGTGTTCAAATTATGTTTTTACGTAGCCCTTGAATAGCAGTTTCTATCCCACTTTATGTTCTAAAGTTTACTACTGACTTTCACATTTCTCTGCTGCATTGAGATTAAAAAAAAAGTTTAATATTTATTAGCATTTTCATTTCAATGGTAATAGAGCAGCCATGAGGTGTGGGGGTGTGAAGAGAAATCAGTGTAATGTGAATTATTAAAACTATTAAAATAGGGCCTCCAGGAAGAAATGCAAATGCTTTTTGTTTTAACTTTTTTAATTTTCATTTTTTTAGAACAAGTTGGGAAAAAAAGAAAACCCATCCTAACAATCTTCTGTGCTTCAGTTTTTAAGTCATAGGTTACTGAAGACAGCTTAACTAATCTATCCAAGACCTTTACAAAGCTTGTTTAGAAACCAAGTCAATCTATTTTCGTGCTGCAGTTTGTATATGTTAGAAGCATGTTCTTTACTATGTTTCCAAAATTCATAATTATGTAAGAACAGATAGACTATATTTATGGTATACCATAACTTTTGAAGTAAAACTATCATAAATGGGAGAAGTGAAGTTGTTGAAAGCAAATAGAAATACAGATGCAGCTAAGATCAGTTTTAATCTATGTTTTGGAGAACTATGTGGAAATACTGCTGTTTGGAGTGTTCAAAAATTCACTTAGAACATATTTTTAAAAGATTCACTGTACTAATGAAGCAGGAAGATACAAATGGGCAACTTAATTTTAATGCGTTTGTCATTGGAAGTGAATGAGAGATGATTCAGTTTATTTTAAAATTTTTTCCGATTCTAAAATAAGCTAGGTACTCTTTCACTCACTTTATGTGACAACAAAGTACTGTTGTCTTCCCCCTTTCCCCCACCCTGGTTCAAATTAAAAATAAGCATATGGCCTATAGCATGAAGAGCTCTCAATCCTGCTAACTCATGTATTTTCAAGTGCTATTTTTGTCTATTTGAAAAAAACACTTAAAACTACTAAAATGTGGATGCCTGAATCAGAAAAATCAGAAAATCTTAGCAGGATAGTGCCAAGAGAAATGTTTGTCCTATCCTGTCCCATTCTCTCGCCTCGCCCCCCCGGAATACTTTAAAATATAAATTTAAACACTTCCATTGGAACAGCTCATGAGACAATCTCCTGATAGCCTCTCTGGGGTAAGTTTCATTTGAAAAGAGATGGAAGAATGGAAGGCTCTTAGGACTTCAACATGTTCACACAGCGTGGAAGCAAGGAGGAGCTAAATACTTTCTGTCATACTTTAGGGCTTACCTCCATGTGATGTGGATTCTCATTCCTTTAGGACTGGGACTCAGCCTTCTTGCTGAGTGAATGTTTCCAAAGAATTTAACATGCTCTGTATCTTAATATTGAAATACAGCAAAAGTGGTGAAAGGTACCTCAAGAGATGACTCAGTCCAATGAGCTACTCTGTGTAATTTTGTGTCGAAGGTGATTCATTACTGCCATCCTCAGCAGGAGGAATTTAAAAACAAAACAAAACAAAAAACAAAAAACAAAAAAACCCTCCCAAAATTAGTTAAAGCTTTTGGGAAAATCAGGGAGCTTAATTACTTCAGAATACCAGCACAGCCAGCTATCAGCAAACCGCATGACCATAAGGCCTATGTTGTAACTATCTGTGTATAAACAACCAGCCACAAAGTTCTTGTGATGCAAGATATTATAATGCAGCATCTGTGGGTGTTTTTGACGTTGCTTTTGTATCTCAAATGAGAATACTTGCTTGTGCTATAATATAAGTTGAGAGCGAGGCAGAGAAGGAAGTTTAGGCAAGAGAAAAATCCTCAATCCATTCCTTCTGGATGTAAAACCCAATTAATATTCTGCTTCTCTAAAGTGGAAAAGACAGAGGCTCTAGAAATAAGATTAACTGGAGACTGATCCAAGGTCTGTATATCTTGGGTAGTGGTAGAATTGTTAATTCTTTCTTTGTGGAAACCTTGTTGATAGACAAGTAGGTGACATGAATGAATCTACCTCCTTACACATAATGTTATTGTATTAAAACATGGGAAACGCGATGAACTATCAATAGAGGAAGGGAGGCAAGTAAAAGTCAGAAGCAGAAATTAATGAAATACACTCCTTAAATCTCCACTAGGAGGTGCTGTTTCAAAAAAGAAGAGGAAACAACAATTGCATTGGAAGGTAAGAAAGAGAAATGCTGGCATAAAGGGTGAAATATTTCCCTCGTTATTTAATACTTCTAGATCACATAATTTTTCAAAATGTGTTTAAGACATGGAAAGACTGAGAAATAGGGAACTACTTTTCTTTTGTTCACTGAATTAATTCAGAGCTGTTCTTCCTTAATCTACAGGGGAATTGGACTAAAAGTAATTTCAAAGATTAGATGAAACTATTTGGCCATCTTCAAATCCTTCAGCTGGTTGGATGTTGTTGGTATACCGTTTCTATTTTGGAAAGCCTACAGCAAGCATAAGTAACTAATGTGGATTGGGAAGTAAAGGCCCCTATGCAGATATCTCATTCAGTTTAGCTTGTTCAGTGATGTTAAATTCTGTTCTCCTGCTTATGAACTCAAGGTATATGTCATAGATGCTCATTTATAACCTATGAATGTCTTTCATTTAAGTACCGCAGTTCCACAAATACGCTATTATGGAAGAACAACATAACCTTCATACCTGCCCAATTGTGATGTTAGATTGTCAGACCATAAAACCTGTAGGTTATTTGCTAATGGGCTACTTTATTCAATTAACTGTTTAAATTTTTTAATTTGTTGAAGAGGCTTTATGCGGAGACATGAATAGATTACACTAACTGGGTAGTTTCACTGTACATATGAATCTTACTACATAACCATATGCATAACTACATAACCCTACTGCAAAAGTCCCTGTAGTTGACAAGTTAGTTGACTGGACAGGTTAGTGTTCTATTTCCTGATATAGGTAAATGCTTTTCTGTGGTAATTTTTAGTGAAACATCAGGATGTAACATCAGGATAACCTTTGGTCATGAAAAATGTCACAGGGTGAAAATTTTGCATTTTCTGGTTAACTGGATACATTGTAGAAATCACAGGAAAAGAGCCCGGGACTGATTTTTATATTATATCCTGCCACTCATTTTAAATATTAAGCTATTTACTAATCTGTAGTTCCATAACTGGAACTGTTTTGCTGCTATGATTGTATATTTAACATACCAAATTTATAGCAAAAGTTTCCATATATTTGCATTGTATTAATTTTATTATTTCAAGTTCTGTGGAGTTTGATATAATAGACAATAGCTAAATATATTTTAAGATTAATATTAACTTTTTGTACATCAAGCAAACACGTCATCATGTTTTTCTGTGTGGTTAATTTCTCTGTTTTAAAGTATCCACTTCTAGAGGTTCCTTAGTTCTATAATGCCAACTCTAGCATTAGTTTCAAAGAAAATGATGAATTCTGTTTAGGGTACGAGTTCTTAAAGGGTACGAGTCCCTTGGGTTTTCTTCTGTTTAAGCTTGGGGGGGGTTGGGGTGAATAGATTTTGTTTTAAAATTTTGGAAACTGTTTTTTAAGGAGATCAGAGAATACTCTGTGGTTTCTAGTATTTTCCAATGGGTTGGTTTTCAAGGGGGAAAAAAACCTCACCAAGGTAATCTCTTCTGAACGGTGAATTATGGTGTGAATTTTTTTCATGAATGTAGTACATATCCACTGATGATTGCAGTGGGGCCATCAAGTTTAATTCATAGGCCGGTGATCAGTTAACTGGAAATAATTTGGTATCCAACACTGAGAAATCGCCTCTGCATCTTCGTAACTTAGGTTCTGCTAACATATTTTCAACTGGTAATTTTGCCAATACTGATCTCTGATGGTTGAAGTTGCTTTGCAAGGCTTAATATTTCCAGTGGAATTAAGGAAATATTTCCCCTTTTAGTTTCCTCTAGAGAAGCAAATAATGACCATTAGAGGGCAGCTTAAGATTTAAACTGGAAGGTACCAATACTTTAATACAGCGCTTAAAATAATTCAAGAAAACCAGCAGACTAGAAAAAGCGAGGGAAGCTTTATAACTTGTGAACATAGTAATAAGTACTCAGAGTATAGGGGCTAAGGTGGAAGGGGGATACACTTGCAAATTCTATTGACTTCAGTCTGGCCTCAGCACTGCTAAAGACAAAGCCAACTTTAAGCGCTTCCAGATTTTGTTTCATGTCGCTGTTAGTGTGCTAGGTCATAGGTCAGGTTCAGCATGCAGAAACCCAATCAGCTCTGCAGGCCTCACTTTGTCTCGCCAGGCCATAACAGCCAACCTACGTGAATGCTTCTTAGGTAGGTAAGGCCTCCCACAGGCAGAAGTGCTGGTTATTAGCTCCAATTGTACACTCTCTGCATGCTTGTGATGCCCGAAGTGGTAAACACTCTGGAAGCCAGAGAGCAGGGAGGCAGTGCTGAAGCTGTCAAACTGCTTGATCCAGCAGTCGCTCTGCAGAACTGACTGGATGTCTCCTCATAGTAGCTGATGGTGCTGAGGGTGCCATGGTGAAGTTACGGAGCGCATGGTACACAGCTGGTGTGGCTTCAGACTCTGTTCCCCATGAAAAGGGGATTGATTACTGGATCAAAAAAGATGCTAGGAGCAGTACAGCTGTGTGCTCTACTATCTGAGCTAGTAACTCTGCTGGAGCCTGTGTACCTGCTGTGGGACAGGCAAATGGGATAGCTGAGGGATAAATGAATTTAACAGTAAAATGCGAAGCTTACAAGCCCTCTTATTTCTCCACATCAGTTAATACTAATATGGTATCAGACCATGCCGAGAAGGCCAATGGACATGGTGCTACTGACTTCATTCAGGGATTGAATTTCACTTCTAAATAAACACATGTAAAATGTGTAATTATTCGATTAATCAGTTCCTCCTTTATTCTTCGGCTAAATCTCCAGGACAGATTTCAAACTTTTATTACAACAGCTACTGATACAGTAAATGCTTCAGACAGTTCAGGTAAACATGACGAACTACTGTGGGGGAAACGCAGCCAAATTTCTCTTTAGTTTAAATCCATTCAAAATCTTTTAGATAATGAAGGAAACATGCATAGTTTAAAAATGTATCTTGAACTTATTTGCAAATATTGTTATGAATTATGGGGAGGAAAATTTTCTTTTTCTTAGGAAGTTCATTGACTTCACCTTAAATAGAAGGTTAGAGCTTTCATTCATACATAGATTTATTTCTTCAAACTGAAGCAGCCACCGTTGATTTCTAAAGCCAGATATGCATTCTGGTCTAGAATGCAGAATAATAATGATGAATAAAATTTCCCCTTCCTCTTAATAGACTTGTCTTCTGGACCTGACCTCTCATTATAAGGAAAACAAACCACAGCCTACATGTTCTCCCTCTGTCTTGGGAATCAGAACACAATGAGCAAATGAATTCTTCCTCTGAGTACCTTTTATGCCAGTGAGCAGAGCTACTTAGCCATGGGTAAAGAATTTAACCTCATCCAAAAACAGGATTGTGTGAGTGTCTTCATTCCCAAAGGCCACTAGAGATTACACCCATCTGAGTTTTAAAACTCCCTGGTGTCATTTAACTATCCATCTTCTAGATAGTGAAGACAAGTATCATAAAGTCACCAGTCACCAAAACTGGAAAATGCTGAAAGTTTTATTGATCAAATAAGAGACAAAATGTACAGGAAAGCAGTCTTCCCTGTCATTTTGAGATGTCGGTAAGAATATTACATTCATAAAAATGATATGCAATAAAACTTTCTCTAGCCACAAGAGCTAAAACCAATGTAGCCACAATGTTTTATGGTTCTGTCTTTAGAGAGCCCTTACAACTTTGTCCAAAATACGAATTTTTTGATTAAACTGATGCATATTTGCTTATTTCCATGATGTATGCAGATTATTTTACATGGTCTTCCATTTTTCCCTTTAAATTGTATCACTTAAAAAGTACATACTAAGATTTAATTATTTGGCTTTAACTTCTTAAGAAATAAGAAAAGATAATAACAGAAACTGAAATAAGATAGCTTAAGAAGGAGTACAAGTTATTTGGGGGATGATATGATTCCAGCTTTTCTAGGGGCTCTGTTTTCTTTTCCTAGTGATCATATCTGTCTTCTGCTACTTTTCTTCCACTGGAAACCTTCTTCTCCGGGGGCTTCTGAAATGCATGCATTCGTGCACTGACATTGTTCCACATAGACATAGTTATAACTGATGCTTGTTCCATTTTGGCAAGTCAGGGTCACCTCTCTTGTCTGGCTGCTGAGCTCCTGGCAGCAGCTACAGTCATGTTGCATCTGGTTTGCTTCAACAGAATACCTGTGCCCCACCAGAAAAAAAGCATATCCTCCCATTAAAAACTGACACACCAAAAAAACCCCTAGTAACTTTTGGGTTTATATATCTATATCTATTTGTATTTAAAAAAAAAAAAATTGTGTGCATATGTTTGTGTATACATATGTAGGAGTGTGTGTATATAATATATATGTGAATGTGGTTTTAATAACCTGTCCCTTCAATAGTGAAACTATTCTTCCTTCCATTGAGTCTCAGAATAAGCTCCTTCTTACTTTATTGGGCACATATTTGGACCTGTTGTTAATAACAGGTCCAAACCTGTTGCTATGTACATATAGCTCCAGATATAAAAACAAACAAGATAATTTTTGTTGCTGTTAATGAGTTTTTTCAGTTCTTTAACAATCATCTTTCCTTTATGCCAAATTTAGTCCTTAGCATGTAGAAGACAATGAGAAAAATGAAAGCTACAGACCAATTGTTGGTATGAAATAAAACTGTCCTGCTAATCTGTCTTTAGTCATCTTTGTACTTATAGGAGTGCATTATAAATAAACTGGCCCTTAACATCTATAAATAGTTGTGAATTATTTTTCCTATTAGTGGAATTGAAGAAAAGGAATATGTGCGAATCAGGACCCAGTGTTCTTCCACTCTGGAGAATCAGAAATAGCTCTGCTGTATGAATTATAGTAGTTTTATCATGGTGTAAATCAGAGAAGGTCCACAACATAAACGTTTCTCAGGGTTCTGCAATTTATCATTTCTGTGCTTTGCCATCAGTCATACAACATAGAGAACTTGATTGAATTATTGTCATGGTGCCAGCTAGTGAGTGGCAATCATATTTGTGTAGCAATGTTGTTAACCCTGCCTAATTCTTAAACCTCAATCTGTAACCCAGCTTATTCAATTGAATCACTTGGCTCTCATAAGCACGCCACATTTGTTGATATTCTGTGATCAGTGCTAACTGATTCTCTAAATGAAGAGAGACCGTGAGTATAAACGAATCCAAGGAGATGTTCAATTAACTTTTTGGAACTTACACTGAGGAGCCAGGACAAGTCCCTTCACAGTACGCCAGTTCCACAGGT